AAGTCTATCCCCTCCCATCCGAAATTATTAGCGCCCAGGTTCATTACCTAGTAAGTGTCGGGAATTTAAAGTCACAAGACAGGAGTAAAGGGGTCATATAACACGTCAACTAGTAGTAAACTTATATTGTATCCCGTCAAAGACCTTTCTAAACACGTCAGTACTATCTCTTAACAAGTAATGTACATGACTGTTTACCTGTAATACGTAAGCGCTCTGTACATTTTTCAGGGTGTCCCTTATTTGTGGGACCAGAAGTCATTCTCTCCGAAAACCGGCTTATATATGTGTTTTCAGACAGCGCAAACCCACTCTACGAATTTTGCCATGGAATGTGCAAGAGCGCTTGAAGCAAAGCGTAGGAAAGCGGAAGATGAACGTGAATGTAATGAATGGTCTCGTCAAGGCGATTTAGTGGGTCTTTCACAACGTACAGCTCGCGCTGAACATAACCAGACACTCGTTGAGCGCTCCAAACTAGCTCTGGATGCGTGCAAAGCGGTAAGTGGTTTCGTAGTTCAGGAAACTTAATTGTTTAACGGTTATGCTCCCTTTTTAGCGAACTTTTGATGCTATCTTAGCGTTTGTTCGACATCCCGGATGGAGGACGGAGACCAAAGGGGTGAGTGCTAATTGTTGTATAGAGGAATGAACTCTGATAAAGCTGATACTGCGCACCTCTTTTGAGAGCGTATTTAAGAGAGGTGAGCGGTAGGGTTGAGTTAGTTTTGTGTGTGGTATACTCGCCAGATAAACCTTTCTGTGCGTATCGTCTTTTCGACACTCCCAGAGACAACCCAGAAGTCAGGGATCCAACAGTGGCGATCAGGATATTCAACACTAATGAAACTTGGTGTATAGCTATTTGTGGGTGTCTTACATTCTGATCCCCGTGGAATTAGGGTATGAGGCTAGGGATGTAGGTCAAGGTTGTTGGGGACGGACGACAGAGTTCGTTCATACTCCGTGAAGCGATTCAGTAGCGCAAATGCACATTTGCGAGACTTAGACATTCCTTTGAAACAGTAAAATGAAGAGTGTTTGAATTAGAACCTCTGAGTACAATGGTCCAATGATCACCAGGAGTGCGGTTTCCATGCAGTAGCGCGATTGAATTGCCCGAGACGCGAAGTATGAACACTGTTCAGAGCTGAAGCTTGTTGAAAGAAATAGGGATGGGACTATTTTTTCTGATGGGATGACACAGATAAGCCGTTCCTAGCAGCCCTTCCCCACTTCCGCTCCACTCCCAAATCCGCCAAACTATTTCAGTCCCAGGGTCGACTGAAATTCTGGGTTGCTTTTACTTATGCCACCACACATGACCAATCCTGAGGGCCGTTAGAGTGTTGCGCAGGAGGTCCTAAGTATACCCGCTGCCGGAATGTCATCACCTGTACTATACTCCCCCCACCTTTAATAGTATATTGAGTTCATCTATATTGATTTTCCCCTCAATTTTTTTCAACTTTCCTGTCGGTAGTGAACGCCCTCCGATTTATGCTCTTGGTGAAGTCTTAAGGAACAAAGACTGTAATTGGGTATTATCGATTTAATATTATACTTGTTGCACAGGTGTGTTTCCGAAATTAGGCATAATGTATGTTCATTTCTTACACTTCTTCTTCTTCTTGATTGTTCTCATCATTTGTCTAATACGACTTTTCATTGAAGGAATGGGGCCGATCGGAACAGTTGAAAGCGCTGCGAGAGAAATATTATGCGAGCATGCTGAATGTGCTGTTACGTGACCTGGGGATGTGTAACGACGCCGAAACTATTTTGGATATTCTCACGGAGCTCACTGATGAGAATCTGGAGTTCTACAAGGTTTGTTTGCCTTCGCTACACCGATATTGTTTCAATGTGTTGTAATTATATACTCTCACTTGTTTCACTTTATAACCTTATTTGATCGTCTCATGTGTGCTTAATTTTTGTCAACTCATCTAAGAAAAGCCAGCTGCTCACTAGGCCCGGCAAAAAAAAATGGAAAATGGGATCTCTTTTCAGCCTGGGGTCCCTCAGCAAGGACAGAAAAATATGCTTGGATAGGGTACGAGTGCGTTTTTACCACACACACGCACACGAATGCGTCTTTACCCTCAAAAGTAGTATATGCGCTGTTGTTCTCTGTGGATGTGGGGCGTGTCAGTGAGGCTGTGTTGGGCGCGCTGAAGCGACAATAGGCAACAAGCGGCTACAAATGAAGGAAAACGTCTGTACGAACGACAAGATGAAGATTTTTCTCTTTGCGGCAGAACAAAATCGATCTGGCGTCGCGTCGTAACCATCCCCCGCTACAGGCAGGAAAGTCTGTATGCGCTTCTAGTCACGATGGGGGTCAGAACTAATTCTGCTTTGCTACAAACTTACCTTTACGGCTTCTTTCCTATCATAGCGCTCAGAACACTTGGGGAAATTAAGTTTTAACGGAAGGGCAGGTAAAAGACGATTTGATTTCCTGCCTTTCCTTAAAATTACACGATTTTGAAGTCCGCAGTCCGGCTTGGTAGGGGCATCATGCTGGTTAATCCAACACTGCAGATATCTCCTGTGGGAACCTGTAAATTTCTGTACAACTATGCAATAACAGAAGCTTTGTTTACAGTTGACAAGTAGGTCTTACTAAGGTGAAACGTGTTATTAAACAGGAACTAGTAGGGAAACTAGCCAATTCCTCCTCCTCCTCCCCCCCCCCCCCTTGAGCCGAACAGCGCCCTAGTGCCGTACTAAGTTCTGCAAGGAGCACATGACCGTCTTTGAAGTTATCTCAACTATCCAACTACTTTATTTTGCAGGATCTCTCGAAGACTGATCTGAGCCGGTTTCTCCTCGACGTCCACACATTGGCAGGACATATATTGGGTTGATTGCGGTGGATCTCTATTTGCCTTTGCCGTGTCTTCTTGAAATAATCGAAATAATAAATGGTCCTAATTTTTATGTACGATTCATGTAACCCATTAGACAGCGTTCATACTCCACGACAATCTGCGATTTTGCGACCAGCGGGTAAACGTAGTGAAGCGATTTCAGAACAATCCTTGATGACCGAAGAAAACTGTTGGCGGAGCGTTCTACCACTAATTTCTGAATCGTTCACATTTCGAGCTGCTATTCGAATGTTGCTAATTCTAGTACGGATGACAGCATCGTGATGGGAAAAATGCGTGTCAGACGGTTTTCCCGAATTCCTTCCTCCGTTGCGACCGCTTCGCAAATTCTACTATCGTCCCAAATTCTCAAAACTGGATGGTGGAAATGGTACTGGTGGAAATGGTGATGTATAGCCGCGTAAGACAGAAGAAAACAAGAAACGTGGAACCTCCCCTTTCATCGTGAAAAAATCGACCTCTACCGGGAAAAGTGGCGATGTCAGACGATCTCCCAGAAATTGTTCCTCTGATGAGACTTTCACCCATCCTACCATCTTTCTAAGTTTTTCCCAACTGCTTACCACGGAATTTTTCTTCTTTTTCACCGGAAACTGCCGTCGAGCGTGGAGGGGGGGGGTCAGTCAATCAGTTACGAATTTCAACTACAAGAGGCAGTGATTGCAGTGTTCAGCGTCGCCAAACACGGGGGAAGGGGGCAAGATATCACGCGTGAAAATGAAATGGAAAACCGTGAAACCAATTTTGCAACAACCGAAAAAAAGCGAGGAAATCCGGCTAGGAAATCCTCGCGAAGATCAGACTCGACCCTCATCGACCAAGTGTTCCTCTTATCAATGCCCGGGTATGACACCCTGATGAGTTTCTTCCAACGATGATGTACCTTGCTTGCTGTAGATACCGCGTTGTAAGGCAGTGGCAAATCATGTGAAGCACGTCTCAGTTAATTTTCCTAGAGTGCTCCACCCTTTTCCCCCGAACAAGTCCCTTGTCTCATATCATGCGTATTTGTCCGAAGTTAATTCTCCATTGCTTTTCTGACCGTGCAATTTTCAGAGATCTCCAATTTCTCAGTGATTTTTGCTGTGCGGTAAGTGTAGATGATAAATGAGCGGCGAGGCGAAATGGGATTGTCAGAGCGGTTGTTGTGCAAGAAGGCACATGTAGCAACTTTGCAACAGGCGAAACCGGAATCTTGAAGGCATTTTTCATTTCGTTAAAATGAAACTTCGCTGCTGATACAGGTGCCCAAAGTACGAGTGGTCATTCGCTCGCAGGGATTGGAGGGCTGCACGATAAATATCGATATTGCCTTGAGGGGAGTGTCTGACGGATTTGGTACCAGTTAACAGTCCGTAGGTTTTAAGGGTATCGAGCTTGAACAGCGAAATTTCGGTTACGAATGTGCTATATTCATCCTCACGGACCTGAAAAGAGAATATCTCGTGTTCGTATAAATTTTTGTTTGCTGAGTCATAACCCTTTCAGATTGATCGAGGAGACGTTCTCATAAAGGTGTCACCATTTTACGTCCTAGACCAGGGATCTCTGAGATGGGTAATAGTTAATCGCTGGAGAAAAGGGGTGGCCTTGTTTGACTAAGGAAAAATTTTGCTAACTATTTCACGATTTTTCCAGTTTCACGCGCGCTACAGCCCCTTTTGCCTAATCGGCGGCCGCAGAGTTTCTATTTCTGATGATTGCTCGGAGGTGTATCCCCCCACCGTCCCTACGACCCTCCCCCACCTCATGGCAAGTTTATGTGGCAGTTTGGCGGATGACTGGCTGGTCAAGAATGATGTCGCTCGGAAGAAGGCGATTTGGGGAGCGGTACGCGGGGGGAGGGGGAGGAGGGGTGAGAAATGTTGTGGGGGAAAACTGCTGCGAGCTCTCATGCAGCAACAGTTCTCCCCAACACCAGGATGCGTTCTGGGTGTTCATAGTTGGTGCGATGCTAACTAATTAAGACTTCTCACAAAGTAAGCAGAAACTGTGCAGCAGAAAAGTGACGTCAAGATCACCTCCAGGTATCACACAGGAATCCTAGGCGCGCCAGTGGAACGCCAATCCTGGACCGGCTGTATGACCCCAGAACTGCTTGGGGAGGACTCTATGACAAACTGACTCTTCGAGTGCGACAAGCAAGCAGTACGGAAGTGAAGGGAGGGCCCAGCCTACGTACGAAATGACGAGCGGAGAAATAAGGAACATCAGGCTGTCACAAGCCTTTAGCGTCTCCGTCGTGCATTTCGTATGGCGTGAGCGATACGATGCGGTCCAGCCCACTTATCGCAGAAAGAGTTCCTTCCCTTAGCAAATCGTGATGTATGTCTTTAAGTCCAACACAAACCGAGGTGTTCTTCTGTCAAGCGAGACACGCATTCCTAGAGAGTTGATCAAGGTCGAACATTTTTCCCCTTTGGATTTAGCAGCGTGCCCACATGTTTTTGCATTTTTCTTTTGTTCCTGGACAAAAAGGGATATGATAAATGGATGCCTCCCAATCGGTGGTTTGCTATTCACGCAAAACCAGCTCTTGTTTCTCTTCACACCATCCCAGGAGTCGCTTACGTAAGCCTCCACACGGTCGCACTTCTCACTGATTGAGAGGAACTTGTTCCACACTTAGCGCCACCTATCATTATCGCTCGATCGACCGCTGTCCACAAGCCATCGGATGGTCCATTCTCAATGGTTTTTGATTTTTCTTCTTGTGTTCGTCCTGGAAATAAGTACTGCTGATCCTCCGTTCCTCTTCCCACATGGCTACTTCGACAGCACTAAACTTGAAGCCATTTGATGCTATATATCTGAATCTGATGGCACAGTCGAATCTTGAGTACGGAGGTGTAACTCTTGAGGTACGTTACGTCACTTGACTTCCGCTAGTAGTTACACTCCTTATCCCTGAGGCAGAGTAAGGCGTGGCTTTTGAGCATGGCATAGGACTGGTGGGATACTTCAATTTGAAACAACTGCTATCTTGTTCTGTGCTAGATGTAGACATGATTACGACTGCTCCAAAATGAAAATATCTCACGAAAACCTGGGCCGCCGCCATTTTAAAATTAAGTACGCAGCCACGCCTACCCGATCTCAGGGATTTCGAGTATATAGACAG